GTACCAGCTTCAGACCGGGCCTCTTCGCGGCACTCTGTGCCGCCGCCCGCACCCGACTGCCCGCTGTTTCCGCCGCCTCGACGATCTGTTTCGTCGTCGCTTTGGCCCGGCCCCGGACCTCCCAGACTGGCACAGCCTGCTCCGCCAGGGCGTGCCGATCTTTGAGTTAGACATGGATCAGATAGGTGCTGCTTTGCATGCCATGTATTCTGACGCTGCTAGTGTTGCTCGATCTTATTATCCTGTGTTCTCTAGTTTAGTTGTTGCACTGTTGTGTAGCCTAGCCTCCCCTGCTGCGTCAGGCGTAGGACTGCCTAGTTTGTCTAGCCTCGTCTCTGCACCGGCTCCGTTCCCTACCCCTGCCACTGCTTCGCTGTCCTTCACTCTCGACTCCGGTGCTTCTGCCTGCTTCTTCCGTGACCGTTCCGCACTTACGCCGCTTGCTATGCCAGCTGTCGTCTCTCTCGCCGACCCCTCTGCGGGTCCTGTCCTCGCTCGCAGTTCTACGTCCCTTCCCTATCCAGCCATTCCCTCTGGCTCCCTTACAGGCCTCCACGTTCCCTCATTCTCGAGGAACCTGGTTGGTGTCGGCTGTCTCCAGGACCTCGGCGTCACCACCACGTTCCCCGGGCACGAGCGGTTCGCTGTCTTTTCTGAGGCTGTCTCAGGTTCCCCCCTTGCGACGTTCCCCAGGGACCCGGTGTCCGGTCTGTTTACCCTAGACACCGCCTCCCCTCCGGTTGGTGCGTCCTCCCAGGTTGCTGCAGCTTGCTCGTGTCGTTCCCTCACTCACCCGTCCCTTCTCTGGCACCACCGCTTAGGTCACCCTGCTCTCCCTCGTCTACGTCACATGTCCCAGCACGGCCTTGTCTTAGGTCTCCCTGTGTCGCTCCCCGCCCTTCCTCCCTCGACTGCGCCACCGTGCACGCCTTGCGTTGAGGGCCGGCTCCGCCGTGCCCCTCACTCCTCCTCGCTGTGCCCGGCTACTGCCCCCCTTCAGACCCTGCACCTGGACGTTTAGGGCCCTGCCCCCGTCCCCGGACCGCGCGGTGAGCGCTACTTCCTTGTGCTCGTCGACGACTACACGTGCTACACCACGGTGTTTCCCCTGGAGCGGAAGGCCGACGTGCCCGACGTTCTTCTCCCGTGGGTTGTGGCTGCGCGTCTCCACCGCGGTCTCCCCGTGTTGTGTCTCCACTCCGACCGTGGCGGCGAGTTCGCCTCTGGTCGGCTTGGACAGTTCTGTCGTGCGGAGGGCATCACCCAGTCGTACACCTTGCCGGACTCGCCACAGCAAAATGGGGTTGCTGAGCGCCGCATCGGCTTGGTCATGGAGGTCGTCCGCACCTCCATGATCCATGCCGATGCCCACCATTTTCTGTGGCCGTTCGGTGTTCGCTACGCTGCTGACCAGCTTAACCTGTGGCCACGCTCCCAGCGGCCGCAGGTTTCGCCGACCCTTCTTTGTACCGGGTCCCCCGGTGACGCGTCTACGTTCCACGTCTGGGGCTGCCTTGCTCACGTTCATGCCTCTGGCACGGACAAGCTCACTGCCCGTACTGTCCCCTGTGTCTTCCTCGGTTTCCCCCTGGACTCGTCTGACTGGCTTTTCTATCACCCGCCGTCTCACCGCTTCCTCCACTCTCGTGACGTTACCTTTGACGAGTCCGTCTCCTTTTACCGCCGCTTCCCTCACCGAGGTCTCCCAGTTGGCCCCCCCCTGTTCCTTGCTCCCTCTCCCCCGGTAGCCCCTGCCCCTCTCCCGCCTCGTCCTGCCCCGTCTGGTGTCTCTCACGTCACTCCCCTCCCGTCGGTTGTCCCCGTTGAGTCTGCTGACACTGGTGGTACCCCCGGTCTGTCCTTGCCGCGTCCCCCTTCCCCAGTGCCTCCGCCCCCACTGTCGTAGTCGTCGACCCCCCCGCAGCCGTCGCCGCTGTCGCCGCCGCCGCAGCCGTCGCCGCCGCAGTCGTCGCCGCCACTGCCGCCGCCACTCTTGACTTCTGGGGGTGCCGCTGGTGTTGGAGGGGGTTCTCGCTCTGGGGGTGTTGGTTCTGGGGGTTCTGCCGACGGTCGTTCTGCCTCTGCTGGTCCGAGAGTTCCGGCCCAGCCGTCGTCGCCGCCGCAGCAGCCGTCGCCGCCGGTCTCCGCTCTCCGCCTACTCGGCCTTCCCTCCCCGGACCGCGCGCCGGTGTCTCCCCCACCGCCCGCTGACCTTCCTATCTACGGTCCTGTGTTCCCGCCGCCGGACTCCGACCCGTCTTCCTCCTCGTTCCCCCCCTGTGTCTCCTCCGCTGTCCCCTGACCCTACCCCTCCGTCTCACGTTTGGGCTCGTCATCCCTCCCGTGCTCGTCCCGTCTCTCCTGTCCTGCCCACCCACTCTATGTTGCTCCGTTCCCGCTCGTCTCGTCCTCTTCTCCTCCCGTCCCCTCCTCCCTCGTCCCTTGCTGTTGCACCTCCTCCGTTCTCTGACTACCTTCGTTCTGCTCGTCCCCTTGTCCCTCGGGTCCTTGCCTCTCTTGTTACCGACCCTGTTGTTCCTGTCTCGCGCCTTGACGCGCTTGTCGCTGCTGTTGCTGACTTCGCCTCTACCCGCCGCCTTGACTACGCTACCGCTCTGGTCTCTGACCCTGCCCGTTCTCCGTCCGTCGGGGGTGCTCCTGCCCTGGGCAGTGACATCCTAGAGGACAGGCAGTACGAGCTGGCTTTCCTGTCCGAGGCTGCTCCCCATCTCTGCTCCATGCTTTTAGTCCCTGAGGGTGACCCAGACGCCTTCGACATCCCGACCCCTCGCACCTATGCTGAGGCCACCTCGGGACCTTGGGCCTCTCAGTGGATAGCTGCCATGGAGCAGGAGATGGCATCTTGGAGGTCCACCGGCACTTACGTCGACGCTGTTCCCCCGCCTGGGGTGAACGTAGTCGATGGTCGGTGGCTCTTCAAGGTGAAGCGCCCCCCTGGAGAGCCACCTGTCTTCAAGGCGTGCTACGTGGCCAGAGGTTTCAGTCAGCGCGAGGGGGTCGACTTCTTCCAGACCTTCGCCCCGACCCCGAAGATGACCACTCTTCGGGCGCTGCTACACGTAGCAGCACAGCGTGACTACGAGCTTCACTCCCTCGACTTCTCTACTGCCTTTCTTCAGGGCAGCCTGCACGAGCAGGTCTACCTGCGCCGACCACAGGGCTTCACTGGTACCTTCCCTCCTAGGACCCAGTGGCTTCTCAGGCGCCCGGTCTACGGCCTGCGTCAGGCTCCCCGCGAGTGGCACGACACGCTACGTGCCACGTTAGCAGAACTGCAGTTCTTTCCGTCCTCTGCTGACCCTTCACTGTTTGTGCGTTCCGGCCAGACTCCGTTCTACATCCTTGTCTACGTAGACGACCTGGTCTTCGCTACTCCTGACAGGGACGCACTGGCCTCTGTGAAGAATGAGCTGCTGAAGCGACACACCTGCACTGATCTTGGAGAGCTGCGTCGCTATCTTGGCCTGCAGATCTCCAGGGACAGAGCAGCACGCACCATCACTCTGACCCAGTCACACTTGGTGCGTCAGGTCCTTCAGAGGTTCGGTCTTCAGTTCTCCTCTGCACAGCCCACACCTCTACCTGTAGACCACGGGCTTTACGCTCCTATTCCTGAGGAGTCAATAGAGCCCAGTGGCCCCTACGCAGAGCTGGTGGGTTGCCTCATGTACCTGATGACCTGCACACGCCCAGATCTCGCATACCCTCTCAGCATCCTGGCTCGCTTTGTGGCCACAGGCAGACACCGACCACAGCACTGGTCGGCAGCCAATAGGGTTTTGCGATATCTAGCAAGTACATCAGGCATGGGGCTAGTGTTAGGAGGACGCAGGCCAGTGGTCCTCACTGGGCATACAGACGCTTCTTGGGCAGACGACTCTGAGACGCTCAGGTCGTCACAGGGCTACTGTTTTAGCCTTGGTTCAGGTGCTATCTCTTGGAGATCCACTCGCTCGTCGTCTGTTGCTCAGTCGAGGTGTGAGGCTGAGATCTACGCTGGTGCCATGGCGGCACAGGAGCTCCGCTGGCTGACTTTCTTCCTCACTGACTTTGGTGAGCGGCCTAGCTCTGCCCCGGTCCTGTACGCTGACAACAGGGCCATGATACTCCTGTGTCAGGAGCCTCGACTTGAGGGCAGAGCGAAGCATATTCAGCTGCGGTACTTCTTCCTGCGCGAGCTACAGCAGCGTCGCCAGGCCCGCGTATTTCACTTGGCCTCTGGTGCCAACACAGCTGATATCTTTACGAAGGCGCTTGCGCCTAAAGATCATCAGCGGTTCTGTGTACAGCTCGATCTAGTTCCTGTAGCCTCTCACTTGCTAGGACCTTGACTTTGTACTGTCCTATATATATCTATATATATGTACTCAGACTGGACTTGTGTCCTTTCCCAGTGGCCGGACTAGTAGTGCCGCCCTGGTCTTGTTCTTGTTTTGCCTGGACTCCTTTTGACTGGTCTTTAGACCCTTGTCTCAGTGGCTGGACTAGTAGTGCCGCCCTGAGCTGCTTGTTTAGGATTTGCCCCTATGCAGTCTAGGGGGTGTGTCAAATATATGTATAACTCATATTTGTATAGACTGTATAGGGTCACCTCTTAAAGGGTACAACACTCTTAGGTATATACCCTTGTTCTCTCCCTCTATTCTAATCATTCAGTTTTTCCTTTGATAGCAACCTCCAGTTGCGACCCTTCGAGTCCTTTCGTGTTGTTTGTCCATCCCCTCGTGTAACCTCCGTTGACTCGCGTACCCGTTACGACCTTCCTCGAGTGTGGTGTTACACTTCAGAAACGCTGAAGTCCTTGAGGTATTTCCAACACCGGCCGGTCACCTGAACGGGAGCGCACAACTAGAATCATGATGCATGTATGTTTAGATTCTTATGAGCTAATAGCCTTGTTGTACCTATGTCAATTTGAGAACGATGCCCTACGTGACATGAGTACGACGCCTGTTGCGAAGGATAAGAAAGCAAGCTATCTCAATTCATCATTTTTATGCACTACAAATCTGATAAGGCAATTAAGGTTATCATATTATTAGCAAATAGCTAGTCAAAGTATGTCAAGTAGCAAGACCGTTTAACAGTCTTGCACTACTTATTGCCATCACTGTACTACCACTGTTCTGGTGGACATAAAGGCATGCAATTTGAGGAAGCAACACGGGACAGCAGCGGAGGTCTTAGCTGTGGCTCAATGGGCATGCCCGGCGGCAGCAGCCGCAGGAGCAGTGCAGGGGATGGTCACGCGATCAGGCTTTAGGGGAGAGGAGGCAATGCTGCGGCTCCACGCGGGGGACACGCGGAATATGCGAGGAGAGTCAAGTGAGGAAGGAGAGGGCATGTGACATGTGAGTAATTTCCCCACATTGCCGGCGGTCATGCGGAGAAGGCCAAGAGCAGGAAGAGGAAGGAGGCAAGCGTAAGGAAGGACTTGATGATGAGGGGGCGGTGCGAGTGCGTCACGTCCAGATCTTTCAGCAGCGCCCGGTGCGCCTGCTGCATCTGCAGCAACGACTCTGATAGCCCATCGTCAATGCTGCAGGGGGAATGCCGGGGAGATGGGTTGGAGATGGGGAAGCGACCGTGAGGAGATGGTGAGTGGACTCTTCCAGAATGATTTTTTTTACACGTCCACAGACAAACATTCATCTAGCACAACAGACATGCATGGCCTCCGTCCCGCTTCTCTACCCTCCCTCCCCCACTCCCTGTCCCACCCGGCACACCAACTGTCAGCCCAACAATCAGGGGTAGCCAAACCAGCCGCCCCCCCCCCCCCACTGCCCGCCTGCTGCCCGCCTGCTGCCCCCCTGCTGGCCCCCTGCTGCCCCCCTTGTTGCGCCACTGTGTGTGCAAGGTCGCGGAATGCAGTCACCTGTCCGAGCGATCCCATGCTGCTCCCCTCCCTCACCAGCCCCTTCTGAAAAGCAAACCGCAGCCCAGCTCTCACCAGACGGCCAAGTCAGCAGCGCCGTCCACCTTCCGCAGGCCCCCCTGCTGCACCACTGTGTGTGCGAGGTCCCGGAATACCGCCGTCAGCTCGCCCATGCTGCTTTCCCCACTCAACCCCCCCCCACCCACACAGAGAAAAGATTAGCCCAGCACCCGACACTCACCAAATGGCCAAGTCAGCAGCGCCGTCCGCCTTCTGCCCCCCCCCCTGCTGCGCCATTGTGTGCGCGAGGTCGCGGAACACGGCCGTCAGCTCGCCCATGCTGCTCTCCACCTGCTGCAGCGCTATGGCGTGGTGCGCACTCGCCGCGTGCGCATGCTGCTGCGCGCTGCCATGCTGCGCGAAGGACGGCGCAGAGGCGGACGCGGAAGGGGACGGGGAGGAGTAGCAGGGTAACAAGCCGTTACCGTTACTGTAACTGCTGCTGCTGCTACTGGGGCCGGTGTGGCTGTTGGCGGCAGTTGCCGTGGTGTTGCGGCCGAAGGGGTTGTAAACGGGGAGGGTGGAGGAGGGGGAGGAGGAGGGGGAGACGGAGGGGGAGGAGGCGAGGGAGAGGGAGGAGGAGGAGGAGGAGGTGGTGGGGAGGAGCGCCGTACCGCCGCCCACAACGGGCCGTTTGCTGTGCCAGGCTGTAGCGCTCTGCCCCGTGGCGGCTGTAGCGGAGAACAGCTGCCGCCGATTCTCACTCACCTTCAGGGCCTGGGGGACAAAAAGGGGAGGAGTTGAGTTGAGAGAGATGAGGGGTTAGTGAGTGGGAGTGAGGGGCACGAGGGAAAGTGTCGGAAGCGTTGCGAGAGTCGCAAGTGTCGAGAGTGTCCTGGCAGCGCCGCTGGACGATGAGTGTCCACGGCCTCATTTGAGGCGCCCAAGGCCTTGGTGTCCACTCATCGTCCCAGCGACGTCAAGCAGCGTCGCGTCACCCAAGCCTTGCGAGCTCCAAAACTACCCGAATCGTACTACCACAAGCGCACAGTACCGCGCCATACCCTTCAGTGTTCCGTCCTAAGTGACAACTAGATTGCACCTTGCGGCTACTGTTGCCCGCGACGGCGTGCATGTAAACGCTACTCTCGGAAAGGCGTTGCACTCTCGATGTAAACGCCCAAGACGTATAGCGTAGGAGCGTCGATAAGGCGTATCGCAAGGACGCTCAGCCGTTCTGCGAGTCGGTTCGATAACAACTGATTCCCGCTCTTTCCAGATACATCAGCGCCTCATTGCCACTCCCCAACTGCGACGCCTCACCGCCTCTGTAACTCTCTCTCTAATTCGCTCTCTAACTCTCTCTGTCAAGCCGACACCTCGCCCGCCATCCCTTGGCTTTCCCAATCGCCTCACCCGCTCCCGCTCCCGCGCCCGCGTCCGCGCTCCCTCCCCGTCCCTCCTGCCCACCCTCCATCTCGCAAGCCCATAACCACGCTCTATTTCGTCCCGCACCATACCTCTGATCGCGTCGCGAGGACGTCTTTGAATTCCTCCCCCGCCTTTGCGAGCCGCTCTCGCAGGCTCTCCACCACCGCCATTCCCAGCTCGACGCGCTGCCGCGTCGCCGCATCCGCCGCCGCATTTCCCGCTACGGCGCCAGCCGAGCCGCCAGACGGCTGCCTGGAGTCGCCTGCTTCCTTGCTGAGCGCCTGCGCTTCGCAAAACGATTGCAGGCCGGAAATCGCGGCGCCGAGCGCGGAGAGGTCTTGCGAGACGAGCGCAGAGAGATTTTGAATCTCGGCCGTCGGATCGTCGAACATCGACGTGCGCTTCGAAACTGGATGATTGTTCGAGGGGTTTGCGAAAGAAGGGGCGGGGAAAGGGGAGAGGAAGGGGGACCAGCCGACGAGGGCGGAACAGGGAGGGGGAGGGGGAAGGGGAGAGGGAGGGGGAGATGGAACTTAAGCAAGGGGAAGAGAGAAAGGAAGAGGGTGGGAACAGAGGTACGAAGAGAATAGCAGAGTTGGCCCAGTCTCATTACAACCACACGACACAATCACACCGCACGCACTCGCACAGCCAATCACGGGCGGACGGACTCACGTTTCGCCAACTCGTGCAGCTTCTACGCCGTCTGATCAATAGATCATTGGAGAAGGAGAGAGGGAGAAAATGGGAGAGTTTAAAACCAGTTTCTGTTAGGCTAGGAACTCACGTTTCGCGAGCTTGTGCAGCTTCTGCATCATCTGGTGGATGCTAAGCCCGATCCGCGACGCGCGCCGGCTCAGCTCCGACTGCGGGTGGTGGGCTGAATCGCCCGCCGCCGGTGCCGGTGCCGCGCTAGCGGCGCGTGCACGCGCCGGGGAGGCAGGTGCTGCGGATAAGCCCGCCGCGGGCGTGGATGCGCTTGTGTTGGCGGAAGGGGGTTGCGGAGTTGTGCCCTGCGGTGAGTCTGCTGCTGCTGCTGCTGAAACTGCGGTTGCGGTTGCGGCTTCGGTTTCGGTTCTGGCTGCGGGTTTTCCGGGCGCCTCGAAGGTCGCGATGGTACCCAGTCGAATTGGGGAGGACGGCCCGCTGCTGCCGCTGGTGCTGCCACGTGGACTGTTATCCGCGCCGCGGGGGTTCACCGAGGCTGTACGCCTGAGACGCGCATTTGTACCCGCTACTGGGAGGGAGGATGTTGTACGCTGTAACCCAGTTGGCTGCGGAGGGATTCCGTACGCTGCTGCGATTGGCTGCTGTCCCATGGTCGCCTGCGAGTCCCACGGCGCCGCCGCTTTATTGAGTCGCTCTACAGCGGAGACGAGCTCCGACGTGCGGTCGTTGTAGCAAGGGGGCGCGTAGGCGTGCCGAGAGGGGGGCGGCGATGGGGACGCCATGTGGAGGGGTTGTGGTAGAGGACTCAGCATGGCGGTGCTTGCTGAAGGAAGGAGGGAGACCACACGGAGGTCGTAGGACGAGGTGCGCTGCAGTAGGGCGTAATGTGCTAGACGAATAAAAGGAGACCGCGGGAGCTGGACTCGTGTGCTTGCTTGAAAATAGGACGACGAACGCGCCGAGGTGATATGACGAAACCAGGATATATGCTCTACGGGGGTAATACGCTCTGGACTGGATGATTGTTTGTGAATTCGGTTACTGGGGGTCAGTGAGGAGAAGCTTGCTGGAAGAGATCAGAATGGGGCAGCTACCAGGCAAGGAGTAGAATGAAGTGCTTTTCATGGTCCGCGCGGTTGGTGTAGCGGATGCGAGGTGCCACGAGGTGAGGTGAGGTGCAACTCACAGGTGTGTGATCAATGTCAGTTGGCGCGGAGCAGAGCAAAGTAGCGCGTGCATTCTGTAAGGGGGAAGGGGAGTCGGCGGAACGGGGGGGGGAGGAGGGGGCGGGAAGACTTGGGAACGAGAAGCAGGTGCTAGAGAGGAGATGCGGGGGAAATGGGCGGAGCGGAGAGACGGGGGCGGATGGGTTTTGCGGAGGGGTGGGGCGATGGAGCGGCGGAGTGTTTTCTGCCCGTCTGGACTGTACCCTGACTTTCGAGGCTGGTGGCACTGTAGAGAGGGTGTGGTGACAGTGGAAGGGTGACTGGGCGGGGGTGGACTTTTGGAGGTTACCTTTCACTTTAGCAGCTCAGGCTCCTTCGTCGTCTTCGCCTAGGCGTGGGTGCCTCAGCCGAATGGTCGGGCGAATTCCACCGAAGCCTATGTAACAGCCGCCTCTTTGTCGCATTTGGAGGCACAGCGCGCGGAGATCTTGCTGTGAGCAAGTCGCGCCACGCGTCGGCCAGTTGAGGGGAGGGCGGACAGGGCAGGAATGAGAAAATACACCTGTTTTTCTATCTATTTCCATGTTTTTTGCACGCGGCCTGAACCTGTGAACAGTAAAACACGGGCAAACTGGACTTTGAAGGGGAAATCCCACAGTAAGCAATGACACTTGGTTACAAAATCTCGCTCATGCACTAGATTGGCTGCCTGCGCGACGTTCCAGCTCTGAATCTCGCAACTGTCGAAGTACAACTTGGTAGTTCGTTCTCGTTCAGACTGCAGCCAATCAGGTTCAGTGTCAACGCGAGTCATGCTGAGAACCTGGTTGGTGAGATTGCAATTTGGACTGTTCGGGGTGGAACCATAGAGGAGAAAAGGTGTAATTGCGTTGCGGGGCAAGATGAGGGGGGCTGAAATAATATTTTGCGGGAGCAGGACATACGGGAGGGAGAGGGGGCAGATCAACCATAACGGCATGTTGGGGGAAGGGAGCCTGATCAGGCATGGCGGTTTGGTTGGTGGTGGTGGAATTTCAGGGGGGACCGACCCGAACTGATCTCTGCCACATGGCCTCGCGCGAGTAGGCGGGGAGCAGCTCTGGCAGGTTTCAGGTGGCGCGCTATGCTCCAGCACGAATTCGCAACGGCGACCAACTGCCGAATGGGCGACCACACTTGCGACGTCCAGGCCGTCGTCGTACAGTCGCATGAGAGCTGTACCATATCGCAAGATAATCGACGAAAGAGCGGACACCACATGTAGAATGTAACCACACACGGCGACATACAAAAGCAAGACCGTCGAGTCGTCCCCATCGCAAGACCAGGCGTGGTGTGCCTCTGTATTGACGGAGTCAGACTGTCCACACGTGACACGCATGATGCACAGAGATGAACGAATCACAGGATGGCAGTCCCTGTCACACCGCAAAAGGCACCAAACACATGGCACCACAGAAGCCCATTCCTTCCGTCTTTACTGGCTGATCCAATTGGGTAATCCAGTAAGCTGTTAAGAGCAATACAGTGATTGCAATACTCCACAAATTGATCCTGTATATGCAATCCAATATCTGCATGCCAAGTGCACTTATTATTAGTCCCATATTGTCATGATTGATTGATTTAAAAGGCATGATTGATTTTTATTATCTTCCAATGCTCACAAACCCCATACTCGCCGGGAAAAATGGGAAAAGGCCTACAACAATCTAGCAATTTTTTCACAGAGACGGCAAGGTAAGGTCCTCATCCCCAGTGCAGCGGCATGTTGGTAATTACCAGGAAGGTCACAGATTCGCCACGCATGGTAATCCAGATACTCACCTGACACACAAGTTTGGTAGGGATAGAAGGGAGGGTGGGAAAGGAAGAGAACAGAGGGGAGAAGGCAAAGAGTAAACGTGGGTGATACCGTACGAGGGCACGGAGAGGCAGCTCAAGACAAATGCAAACATGGAATTGCAAGATTAGACAAGAGTAACAGACGGCACTTTGGCACAGCTCCCTGCCTCCCCTGACAGACTGCGCAACCATACTCGCAATGTTGCCTCATTTCCTAGGCAAAAGCATCTACAACCGATGTAACATTTTTGCTTTAATACGCACTTGTATTGGCACTGAGTCGGTCTATAAGTGAAGCGAGCTGTGTGAAATTGGAGAAGTCCCTCAAGTTGATGAAGGAATAGGGAGGCGCGTAGTTAAAGACATCTGGCGCTCCATAGTAGATCGGTACTGCCCCTGCCACAAACGCGGCACAGGAAAATAATAATTCAAACAAAACAAGAAATTGAGCAACTGAAGCAGGTTAGGTTGGTAGGGACCAAACAAAATATAATGAAAATGCATAGACCCAACCCAAGCATAGATTGGAGCGAATACAGTATAGAGCCTAATCTCAGGCATGCACGCACCTGCTTCTAGAGGAATGAAGAGTTTCTCAGTAACGTATCCAGGGAGTGCGGCTCCCTCTATAGCGAGTACAAACTTGTAACGGGACATGACACAGTGTGTGCGAGACTGCCACGTGTCGGGATCCAACCTGAGGGAAAGGGAATGGTGTGAGAGAGAAGGGATGGTGAGAGGGATAGGAGATGGTGAGAGGGAGGGGAGATGGTGGGCAATAAGAAATATTTGGTCTCCACGTGTGTGTGTATGGTGGGAGGAAGTGGGGGGGGGGTGGGGGAAGGGGGGTTGCGTGTGAGGGTTTGTGTGCTTATATGATTGAGTAAGAATCGAAACGAGGAAGGTGGGGAGGAAACAGGAGAGAGAAGGGAAAGAGAGATCGCGAGAGCGGGAGAGGTCGCACCTGCAGCCAGGATGCGCCTTCTGCTCCGTGACTGGTCGCATGTTGTTGCGGCACGCTCCAAAGGAGTGGTGACGTGGCAGAGCTGCCAGTGCAGCAGACGCCATGTCATCGCGCCATGAGGGGGAGCAACGCGACGCCAAGTGCAGAACGGGCGTGGACTGAGGTGAGTCCGATGGCAACAGGTGAAGGGACGAAGGGAGAAGAGGGCGGGGTGGTGTTGGGGGGAAGGGAGGGGGGGGAGGAAGGGGGGGAGGAAGGGGGTTGGGAGGGGAGCGGAAGGGGGGGAGCGTTCAGGAGAGATAAATGGGATGGAATGGCGCGAGACCGCATGTGTGATGGCACGAGACCGCATGTGTGATGGCACGAGACCGCATGTGTGATGGCACGAGACCGCATGTGTGATGGCACGAGGCCGCATGTGTGATGGCACGAGGCCGTATGTGTGATGGCACGAGACCGCATGAGTGATGGCACGAGACCGTATGTGTGATGGCACGAGACCACATGTGTGATGGCACGAGACCGCATGTGTGATGGCACGAGACTGCATGTGTGATGGCACGAGACCGCATGTGTTATGGCACAAGAACGCATGTGCGACGGCACAAGACCGCATGTGTGATGGCACAAGACCGCATATGTGATGGCACGAGACCGCATGTGTGGCCATGGCATGTCATCCCCGTCACCTGCAGCGTGACATCCAGGGTGACTATCGCCGCATAGCGTGGGTAAACCCACCTCTGCTCGCCACTCTACCTGCACCTGAGGTGATTTTTGAGACAACTAAAAAATATCCTCACCACTCAATCAGCACCTGCCTCCTCGCCACTCTACCCGCACCTGCATTTTGGTAGCAGAGCGCATGTGAGGGCGTGTGAGGTCGTCGTTGATTCCCACATATGTCACCTGGCCATAGGGCAGGGGGCAGGCAGGGGGAAGGCAGGGGGGGGGCAGGGGGGAGGCAGGGGGGAGGCAGGGGGGAGGCAGGGGGGAGGCAGGGGGGAGGCAGGGGGGAGGCAGGGGGGAGGCAGGGGGGAGGCAGGGGGGAGGCATGGACAAGAGGAAAGAACGATGAGAGGGACGAGTGAGGAGGAAAAACGAGGAGGACGAATGAGAAGGGGTGAGGAGAAATGACGAGGGATAAGGAGGGATGAGGAGGGATGAGGAGGGTTGAGGAGGGATGAGGAGAGATGAGGAGGGATGAGGAGAGATGAGAAGGGATGAGACGCAATGTTGACAGAACTTATGTGTTGATTGAGGAGTGTCAAGAAAAAACATGGCGACTCGGTCGGGAGGTCCGCCTGTTGAATGCGTTAAAACGGTGTCGATCAAGAGGCAAATAACCCATGATGTTTGCTCAAGCCGTTGTGCTCTCTGCTCTGGTCACCTGAACGTCGCTATCTCTGTGGTATGAGATGACCACATCCCAATTGCCATCAGCACCAGCAGCACCATCAGCACCAGCAGCAGCAGCAGACTCCTCTCCAGTGACACTGTCACCACCACTGCTAGCACCGCTATGAGCAGTACTGCTGCTGCCGCTGCTGCTGCTGCTGCTGCTGATTGTGGTGCTTCTTCTAGTAAAAGTGCTGTCACTGCCAGCATAACTGCCAGCATCACTGCCAGCATCACTGCCAGCATCACTGCCGGTAACCGTGCTGCTAACAGGAGAGCTGTCTCCGCCAATAGCACTGGATTCCTCTCCTCGCCTCTCCCCCCTCTCTCGCCCCCTCCCCCTTGCAGGCACCAGCAGGGGCGGGGCAGGCGGTTCCAGGTCCACAAGAACAAGCGCAGGGCTGTGCAGCCTGCTGCTTCCACTGGGGTTCGACCCGGTGCTGCCATTGGTGCTCCTTGTGCTCCTGGTGGTATTTCCGCTGCTGCTTTCACTGCTGGTATCCATGGTGGTACCAGTGCTCGTATCAGTGCTCGTAACACTGCTGCTGATGCTGTTACTGGTGCCGCCAAGTGTCTCTCGCGTTTGCCGACGCATGTCTTGGCCCTCCTCCGCTCCCCTCACATGCACATGGGCGTGAGCACTGGCAGCGGTGGCAGGGTCCCATGAGAACTGACCAGGGAAGGAGGAAAGGGGGGAGGGGCCAAACGAGGAGATATGCGGAGACGTAAGTAAGTGAGATCCCACGGATCTTCGTCACTCATGGTAGAAAGAGCAGCAGTACGAAGCTGATCGCTTCAGCAAAAGAAACAAGAGTATTCGATCCTTAGCAAGAAAATTGCTCGGAAAACCATACAATCAAAGTTACCAGGTCGCAAACATGTTTCGGGAGAAGTGACAGGGAGGGGAAGGGGGGAGAGAGACACTGGAGGGGTGGGGGGAGTGGGTGGGGGCGGGTAGTTGAGTGAGAGGGGGAGGGAAGGCAAAGGGTTTCTGAAAAAAAGACACAGGTTGGAACAACAGGACATTGGGCAGAGGGGAGAGAGCGGAAGTGGTACTAAGGGGAGGGAGAGAGCAGAAGTGGCACTAAGGGGAGGGAGAGAGGGGAAGTGGCAGGAAGCGAAGGAGCAGCAGCACTGACAGTGCAGGAGAGGTTGCAGCGACGGGTGCATTGGTGCCGCCCCTGCAAGCCCATGGCCGTGCCGTACTGTGCGCTGAACCATGCGGGGTGCGCCCTCACATGCACCGCCACATGCTCCCTCTTGTCGAGGTGCGAGCACGTGGGAGGGGGGTCTGTCTGTTGATGGGGGATGGGTGGAGGGAGAGAGAGGTGGCCCATGGCCGTGCCGCACTGTGTGCTGAATCATGCGGGGTGTGCCCACACATGCACCGCCACGTGCCTCTGGAGTAGCTGCGAGCATGTGGCGGGTGCGCCAGAGTCAGTCTGTTGGGGATTGGGAGAGTGGGAGAGTGGAGAGTGGGAGAGGGAGTGAGAGAGTGGTATTGCGGGAACGAAGATGCGAGGTGTGCCCCCACATGTGCCAAAATGAGCCTCTCGGGAGCGGGTGTGCAAGCGGGGGGGGTGAGTCTGTCTGTCGGTTGGGAGGGATTGGGTGAGAATGAGAAGGCGGGTTGGGGGAGAGAGAGGTGGCCCATAATGCAGTCTGCCTGTGCCATACTGTGGGCTGCACCAATGCGGGCTGCACTATGCGGGCTGCGAATTTTGAGGCACCTAAAAAACCGTCTCAGTTTTCAAGCCGCCTCAAAAATCGTTGGGGGAGAGAGAGGGGGCCCATACTGCGGTCTGCCTAGCTGTACTGTGCGGTGAACCATGCGGGGTGCGCCCGCACATGCACTGCCACGTGCCTCGCGTGTTCATGTGCACAGGTGGGGGGTGAGTTGTCCACATGGGCCTGATCAGGTTGGTGGAGGTTGGGGATGGGTTAGCTAGAGTCGGTGTGTTGGGAGAGCTGACTTCCGGTGGAGGAAACGATGGGACGGGTGGGGCGGGTGGGACGGGTGGGACGGGTGGGGCAGGTGGGGCGGGTGGGGCGGGTGGGGCGGGTGGGACGGGTGGGACGGGTGGGACGGGTGGGACGGGTGGGGCGGGTGGGGCAGGTGGGACGGGTGGGACGGGTGGGGCGGGTGGGGCGGGTGGGACGGGTGGGACGGGTGGGACGGGTGGGGCGGGTGGGACGGGTGGGGCGGGTGGGGCGGGTGGGACGGGTGGGACGGGTGGGACGGGTGGGGCGGGTGGGGCAGGTGGGACGGGTGGGACGGGTGGGGCGGGTGGGGCAGGTGGGACGGGTGGGACGGGTGGGACGGGTGGGACGGGTGGGGCGGGTGGGGCGGGTGGGACGGGTGGGACGGGTGGGGCGGGTGGGGCGGGTGGGGCGGGTGGGGCGGGTGGGACGGGTGGGGCGGGTGGGGCGGGTGGGACGGGTGGGACGGGTGGGACGGGTGGGTGAGTCAGAGAATCTGAAAGGAGTTGGAATGCGGGCACTGGCACTGCTTTTGAGACGACACAAATTGAGAAGAAATGCGGGCACTGGCACGGTCATGTGGCGTGGATTGAAGTGCAACAGCTTGCGCTGGTGTGGCATATTGCAGTGTAGCGTAGGTAGTCCAGAGCGGTGCAGTGTGGTATAGCACAGCACCTGAAGGGACATATGCATGGGGAAGACATTGCCAGACGCTTTTCGGCTCTGCTCCCATGCTTGCTCCTCTCGCTCCTGCTGCTCTCTGCCTCTCTCCTGCTGCTCCCCCTGCTGCTCCCCCTGCTGCCCCCCTCCCCCTTCCCCCTGCTGCCCCCCCTCCTGCTCCTCCTCCTGTTCCCCCTGCTGCTCTCCCTCCTGCTCTCCCTCCTGCTCCCCCTCCCGCCGACCCTGCATCTCTTGCTGCCGCAGTGACAGCTGCTCCCACAGCACATCCCATTCCCCATACCCGCCCCTCCCATACACGCCATCCATGCTACTCCCCCCCCCACCTCCATACCCCCCCCACCACCGCCATACCGCTCAACATCGCCATCGAAAAGAACGGCAGCAGGGGGGCTGGATGATTGAGTGGGAGAGTTGGTGGAGAAGCGAGCGAGGAGAGCGAGGAGCAGAGGGCGCAGGGCATGGGTGGAAGAGGCAGAGGAGGTCAACGGATCCCTGGACAACGAGGTTCCCGTGCTGCTGCTGCCACTGCTATTGCTATCACTGCTGCTGTCACTGCCACTGCTGCTGTCACTGGCGCTGCTGCTGTCACTGGCGCTGCTGCTGTGAGCACTGGCGTCCATTGAGTGAGTGAGGGGGATACGGAGGTCATGCGCCATGCGATGAACCAGGCGCGTGCACCCGCCCTGCTGGACCCATAGGCTGGCTGGACGGAGGGAGGGAGGGAGGGAGGGAGGGAGGGAGGGAGGGAGTGAGGGAGGGAATGAGGGAGGGAGTGAGGGAGGGAGTGAGGGAGGGAGTGAGGGGGGGAGTGAGGGAGGGAGTGAGGGAGCACCCTGAAGAGTAAGTGAATGAGTGAGGGATTGCGTGAAAAAACAGGCCCTTTCGCCCGGCCAAGGCATCATCAGCAAAGCCAAGCCCGCCCCCATTCCTTCCCCATTCTACTCCCTCCCCTCACCCCTCTCTCCCTCTCCCCCTCGCCCCCTCCCCCCCCCCCACCCCCTCCCCCCCTCACCCCCCTCCCCACCCCCACCCCTCCACCCCCTCTTCCCCCCTCCCCCTCTCGTCCTCTCTTCCGCGACTCACTCGATTTCAGCGGCCATGTCGAGAGTCCCTCCCCCCCACATGTCCTCGTGAATCCGCCTCAAGTAAGGACTCGCTAAGAACGGCCCATCCTCTTCCTCCGCACTCAACGCTCCGCGCATCGCGCCGTCGAATCCGCCGTATATCCCTCCGTTGGTCCCGCCGCCATTTCCGCTGAACGTTTGACCGCTCCCTCCCCCGTCGCTGCCGAACCAGTCTAATAAATCTTGAGATCTTGAGAGAGGATACTCGGAGAGCAGCAACGCGAGGAGAGAGAGACACGTGGCAGCAGCGCCAATCGCCAGCCAGGGAAGCCGGCGGAGCATCCTACTCGATGACCCGGAAACTGCTGATGTGGCAGGGAGGCGAGCTGTCGCATCGGAGCCGATCGCACGAAAGGCGGCGTACGGAATACGATCGGATGTACGCGGCTCGATCGACGGTCGACGTGGCGCCGACATGAATCTCGTAGGCGATCTTGTCACAGAATCGCTACACTAGTAGTTTATACTGGCCTCTCCCCGAATCTCCGAATGGGGTGTCGAAATTAAGGTTTCAGGACGTCGCGGAACCGAGAGGTTTTGCTCTCCAACCGTTTTGAATTCTAGAGAAATCGTACTGTACCTTCTTATAACGTCCTGGAATCACAAAATGTTTTCATTGAATCCAAGGCACTCTTTATCAGAAGCTCTTCCCCAAGAATGTCTGATCCCCATTGAGATCACCTCATGATTTTTTTAGCGACATCTAACAATAAATGCTGTTTGTTTTCAATATTGATATCGAGTGCTTGAACTTTTACCAGCCAAGAGTTGTCAGCTTTTAATCATGAATATCTATCGACTTGTTGTACAAGCAGCTGTATTGGATCCTGTCTCCCTCGTCACTAACACGCGCGAGGGGAGGCATGCAGCACTACATACTGTAAGACGGGCAGAGTCACTACGGGCGTGCCCTAAGCGTATGTCCGATTGTGGTCGGGTGAGGTGCTTTGCGGCTCAGAAAGGTCTTGGTCAATTTGAGGTGTTTAGATTGGGTGGGGTTGGGTTGAGTACATTATTTGGCTGAAAACGAACGCTTGGTTGGGGACCCATGCAGCGTCAATTCCAGATTCTTTTCGGCTCCAATCCCGCAAATTCCTCCGAAGGAATCACAACGACAGCTGCGCACGTGAGAGCACCCAAGAACACACGAGAGCACGCGACGCGAGTGAACAACAGCCGCACTGCTACATCCTCTGACGCAGTGCGGCCAAGGCCAACGCTAGGGGCCCGGGCGATCCACCACAACACCATCGATTCTACGGCCCTAGACTGGGCCGCAGTGCGGCTTCATATTGACCGCCTGCTGTCCTTTGACCGCTCGCCGTGAGTCCGTCCGAGGCTTCTCTCGCGGCTTCTTTCCTCGCGCCTTTGTTAGAGTCCTCGCGCCTTTGTTAGAGTCATCGCGCCTTTGCTAGAGTCCTCGCTTGAGGCTTGTTTAGTGCTCTACTTCCTTTTCCTTACAGCCGCCACCGGAGCCATCGCACTGCGCCGTCGGACAACAGTCGCACGCTGTTTTTCTTTCTCTTAGAAAAAATGACGGTCGCCGACGACGTCACGAGCAAGACCGGCAACGTCACCAACAACACGGTCTACAACGAGTCGCCTTATAACGGCGACCCCTGGCGCCGCTATAACGAGTACGAGCATCCGTACAAGCCCTCCCAGTCCCGCACCGCGCAGCTGACGCAGACCGCGCGCGCGGTCATCGACGCTACGAGCGGCGTCGCGCGGGAGGCGTGGGGGAGAGGCGCGGGGGGGTGCAGCGCGGGGGCTGAGCGCGCCCTGGCGTGGGCGCGCGGAGGGGGAACATGGCGGTGGATCGTCCTTGCGACGGTCAGTGATGAGATGATGAACGTTCAAGAGCTAGACGGTCGTTTAATAGAAGAATGGTCAGTTCGTCAAAGAAATCCACGCTGCTTTGTAACCAAAATTACTCTTCTCCCCCACCTCTTCCCTTCCCCTCCTCACCCCCTACCCCACCCTCCCTGCCTCCCCATCTTTCGTCCACCTTATTTTCCTCTCCCTTACCTTTCATCTCTCCCCTCTCATCTCTCCCCTCTCCGCCGTTTCTCCCTCACCATCCCTCTCTCTGACTGTCCCCACAGACTGCTGCGTCGCTCGTCTCCCTGGCGGCCTGCACAGTCATATTCCTCTTCGTCACCACCGCTCTCACCACAGCAGCATTTGTGGTCTGCGCCGGCGCGTCGCTCGCCGCCGCTGCGCTCTTCCTCTGCCTGCTGCTCTTCAGCGTCGCCACTGTGCTCTGCGTCGCCGTCTCTGCCGTCGCTTTCACCGCCATGGCCGTCGCGGCATCCGCTATCGCGTGTATCCTCTTTGCCGCTGGTAAGAGCTGTAACATGCTTCCATTGCGCTGTGTCGTGTGGTTTGTTCTTGTCGCGCATGCCATGCCACATGAGGCACCCGGTTCCTGCCCTTTCTTGCCTCCTTCCCGTTCCCCACAACCCCCACCTTTCCACACTTCTTCTCCTCCCCCCCTCTCTCCCCATTGAAATTGAAAATCCCTCGTTTCCCCCACAGGAACGGCTCTGTCGGCGTTTGCATGGTGGTGGGTGCTGACTAAAGTGTCGTCTGCCGTGCTCTCCTCTGCTGCCGCCACCAAGGACTACCTCCTCCCTCCACCACACCCTGCTGGCCTTCCACCCGCTCGAGGCATGCCCGTGCCACCTGCAGCTGCAGCGCTAGAGACTGGAGCCGCAGTGCCATCAGCAGCAGCAGCAGCAGCAGCAGCAGCAGCAGAACCAGCAGCAGCAGCAGCAACAGAAGCAGCAGGAGCAGCAGCAGGAGAGGAAGCATCGCCACCTGCAGCAGCACCAATCTGGCCAAAATTTGCAGCAGCCTGACAGAGCTGCCACCTTTGGTTGCCGGAGTGGCAGCAGCAGCAGCAGCAGCAGCAGCAGCAGCAACAGCAGCAGCGGAGACAGCAGTGGCAACAAGGGCATTGGTTGGCTGATGCAGCATGCTTTGCCCTTGCGACGCGACTGCTCTGTTCAGTAATAGTGTTTATTCGTAGGTAGTTGCTTGTGGGCTGATGCCTTAAGTCCTGAGTGCCATCTTCCAAGCCTAGCTCGGAAAACCTCCTACCAAAGATTTTCGAGGCTGCTTATATTTTGCCTTGCTTGAACTCGTTCAAATATGCTTTCTGGTGTTGGAATTCTCATTCCCAGAACCTGGCTATCATGTTGGAATGACTAGGGTGTAGGTTGTTGATGTTAATATATATATATATATATGTTGTATATTTACTGTATCCTAGTTAGGATCAGTTCTTAGAGAGTACAATACGTAGCCATGTTTCTGTACTCTCGTTCTCCTAGTTATCAAAGTAGCGCAACGGTTGTACACTCTAAGAACTGACCTAGTTAAGCTATAACAAATACAACCTAACTAATATATAAATTATATATTTGTTGATACACCCCCTAGCCTAGATAGTGACAGTTTATAACAGGGCAGAGCAGGCCAAGGCAGCGCTACTAGTCTGACCTCTGGTGAAGGTAACAAGACAACTCAAGGTAACACTACTAGTATGACCATTGATACAAGAGGCCAGTAAGCAAGTGTAGGAAGGCATACAGATATAGCACAGTAAATAGAAGCAAATATAGTATATATCAGGATACAAGGAGTGGAGCTGCTACTGAGACTAGACCAAGCTGAGTACAGAACCGTTGATGGTTACGATGCAGTAGTACCTTGCCGAAGATATCAGCAGTGTTGGCCTCTGAGCCTGATACCTTCGGCAAGGTACTACCCACGCAACTGATACACGAGCCTGACCACGCTGCTGTAACCCACGCAACAGGAAGTACCGCAGCTGGATGTGCTTCGTCCTGCCCCCTAGTCGAGCCTCTTGACACAGGAGGATCATGGTCCTGTTGTCAGCAAACAGGACCGCGGCAAAGCTAGGCAGCTCACCTAAGTCAGTGAGCAGGAACGACAACCAGCGGAGCTCCTGAGCAGCCATGGTCCAAGCGTAGATCTATGCCTCACAACTGGACCGAGCTACAAACGAGGACTTGGTGGACCTCCACGATGTTGTGTTATAATTGATACTTAGCATTTATGTAAGTAGATTATGTGTAGATAGTGTCGAATCCTACTGTAGAACATAAGTCCGTAGGATGACGTCAGCAAATAGCGCTCGTCATAGGACAGTCGTTTCAGTCACGCGAACGGTCGCACCTCTTCATTATCGTTAACGGCGCATAACGCGATAGTGACGAACATGTACATTAGCGAATATGTACTTTCCTAGATCTATAAATCTTTGTTGTGTCCTTTTTGTTATTAACCTTGAGAACTTTGAGACTTAAACTTCTGCAGAAACATATACTCAGGTTCACTCTTACAAGACTTCCGCTGTCTTACTAGTCTACCGTTCTAGTAAAGATCCTGGATCAACACTTAAGGATTTCCAAGTGTTCGTATTTGCAGTTTTATATTTAGTCTTCTACAACATTGGACAAGTTATTTCATGGTAGGAGAGCTATATGGAATTAAGACTACTGTCAACAATGACTGGTTCATCACCAGCACCTTCTGCCGGATCAACCTATGGAACTACTGGAGTATGTGTCTCCACTACCGCCACTGGTCTCTCAGCCTCTGGGCCGTTTCCACCAGCCTATACTCATATCGGTATGCAACAGCAGAATTCGCCTTCTGTTAACACTCCAGGTGTTTCTTCGACTGCACCTGCAGCGCAACAACAACAATCACAGACAACAGCACAGCAACAAGCGTCAGTACAGCCACCAGTTTCAACGCAATCTATATCGTCAGCGTTCAGTGGAATGAGCCTTGACGGCTCAAGTTATATGCGTGGAGTCACAGCTCCAAGTACTGGTTCGTTCACTTTCTACAACATTGGACAAGTTATTTCACACGAGACTTCATCAGAACCAAGCCGTCATTCCACGACATGTCTGTGTCTCCACTGAGTACCACATGCTCCCGTCCACTTAGCACAAGCCCCAGTCCTGATGTACTCCCCAGATATCGTAGTACCCTCTTGGCAACGTGACTGGTCATGACCACATGCTCCTGGCCTCCTAGCACAAGCCCCAGTCCTGACTGGTCGGTGCCTGCCTGTCGCCACAAAGCGAGTAAGGAGACTGAGAGGATACGCTTGATCTGGTCGAGTGCATGTCATTAGATACATGAGGCAACCCACCAACTCTGCGGATAGACCACTAGCCTCAGTCTGCTCAGCCGGAAAAGGAGCAGAGAGCTTGTGATCCACAGGCTGAGGGGTGGGCTGTGCTGAGGAAAACTGTAGACTGAACCTCTGAAGGATCTGCTGCACCATATGGGAAAGAGAGATTGTGATCGTGCGAGCGACACGTTCACGAGAGATCTCCAAGCCCATATAACACCTCAGTTCCCCCAGGTCAGTGCAGGTGTGCCTCCTAAGTAACTCGGCCTTCATTGAGGCTAGTGCGCCTTTATCAAGAGTAGCAAAGATAACAGCGTCTACGTAAACTAGGATGTCGAATGAGGTATGACCTGTGCGAACAAGGAGAGAGGGGTCAGTAGAGGACTGCAGAGAAGCAAATGTGGTGCGAAGCATGTCGTGCCAATCATGGGGTGCTTGACGAAAGCCGTAGACAGGGCGGTGCATGCTCCACTCGGTCCCAGGAGAGAAGGACCTATAGAAGCCTAAAGGGCGCCGGGGGTAGATCTGCTCGTGCAGACTACCCTGTAGGAAGGCCATGGAGAATTTGAATGAATGAAGCTCGTAGTCATGCTGCGCGGAGCACCCCGAGATTTTGGAAGAAGGTATGGAAGAAGTCCACACCCTCTCGCTGATCGAAGCCTCTAGCCACGTAAAGCGCCTTGAACTTCGGCGACTCTCCAAGTGTGCGCTTCAACCTATAGATCCACGTACCATCGACTACGTTTGCCACAACGGGGGGATCTTTGTGGGCGTAATTGCTTGTGGATTTGTAGAATGCCATCTCTACCTCCATGACCTGTATTCACTGGGTTGCCCAGGGTAGCGATACCGCCTCAGCATAAGAGCGCAGGACAAGGATTTCGAGAGCGTATGGGTCTCCCTCTGGGGATAGAAGCATGAGCAGAGATGGCGTACAGCGGCAGCAAGGTAGGCCAACTCGCAGTGCATGTCCTCTAGCACTTTACTCCCAAGGGCAGGTGCACTCCCGATGGATGGAGGACGGGTAATGCCAGAGACCAGAGTAGCATCGTAGTCAAGGTGGTTACGAGTAACGAAGTCAGCGACAGCAGCGACAAGCGCAGAGACGGTCTCAAGAAGAGTAGTAGGGCCGGTGACAAGCGACGCAAGCAAGCGGGAGGTGGTAGGACGAGCAGTGCGAGCAGAGTCAGAGGGAGGATCAGAGGACTACGGGAACGACGACGGAGGAGGCAATGGAAGAAGGGGGACTTGAGGAGCATGAGGACGAAGGATCATAGGGTGGACACTAACACGAGTAGAGACAGGACGATGGGCCCACTGACGAAGAACAGATGACTGGGGACGAAAGGGGAAGGGGGACAAGACAGGGGACGAGCAGCATACGGAGGGAAGTGAGCCGAAAGGAGTCTGGAGGAGGAAGAAGCGGGCCCTAAACAGAGGCCCGCTCCAGAGGAGTGACTGGCAGTCGGCCGGGGGAACCGGGGGATAGACCAAGGAGACGAAGAGTCGAATTCGGCTGCTACTGCTGCTGCTGTGGCTACTGCTCCTGCGGCTACTGCTGCTCCTTGTCCTCTCCAGGATCCCCAGCTCCACCTCAGCTACCACCGACACTCTCCAGAACAGCACCCCCCGGAATAGCACCCCCAGGACTAGCACTACTTAGAGAACCGGCACCCCCAGAACCAGCACTCCCAGGGCGGCTGAGGTGCTTGGGGTACTGGGGCTGGGGTAGGCGCCACAGGAACAGAAGGCGCGCCCCTAGCAGGTGGGCCCCCAGAGTCAACAGACTCCCCCAAAGGCTCTACCGAGGGGATCGGAGTGACGTGAGAGACACTAGATCGGGGCCAGGCGAAGTGGGAGGGGTGCGGCAGGCGGGGTAGGGACGAGGAAGAGAGGAGGAGGAGGAATTGGAGGATTGTGGTGAGGGAAGCGCCGGTAGTAGGGGATCGTCTCGTTGAAGGTCACGTCACAAGAGTGGTAGAAGTTGCAGTGTATTAGGTGGTAAAACAGCCAGTCTGGGGCGTCAAGCGGAAACGGCTGAAAGCTTGTCCGCACGAGTGTCGCGGATGTGAGCAAGGCTGCCCCAGGCGTGAAACGCAAACACATTACCGGGATAGCCATACAGTAGGCGCGGGCTGACGCAACCCCCACAAAGTGAGAGTACTCGTCAACCAGTAGGCACCTGAGGATGGTGACACGAGCAATAACATCGCGGGACGCCTAGACCGAGTAGGTGGTGCGGGCAGCAACGTGTGCAGCTTGCTGCGCAAGCATCGCGTCAGCAACAAGAGTGCTCGGGCGGGGAGGAGGAGAGAGCTCACCAAAGACGTGGGCATTAAGGGACACATCATCCACTCACTGGCTGATCAGCTGCAAGAGGATTTTCTCCTGCCAGGCGGCGAAACCGGCCGCCCGCCCCTTCCTATTTTGTTGCAGGATGAAGACGATGGTCGCCGACATGCTGGCGGCGGTGACGGCAGTTGCGGCCGTGAAGACGGAGGTGGCAGAAGCAGAGACAGCGGCGACAGCTGCTGTAGCGGCAGCAGTAGTGGGTGCTGCAGTGGGAGCCGGTGACAGCGGCAGTGGCTGTCGCGAGAGCGGCTGCAGTGGCTGCGGCAGAGACTGCAGGAGCAGCGACGGCACCGGGCAGCAGTGGCTGTGGCTAGCTGGCTGTGGGGTGGCGACGGCGGTGGGCCAGTGGCGAGCTGGGTGGTGGCGGCGGCCCTGCTAGTTGGCTAGCGATGGCGGCGGCGCGGCTGCTGGCTAGCAACGGCAGCGGTAGGAGCGGCGGTTGTAGCGGCTGTAGTGGCAGCGGCAACAGTGGTAGGAGCGGCTGCAGTGGCAGGGGCGGCAGCGGGAGGAGCAGCAGCAGTGGCAAGAGCGGCGGCAGCGATAGGAGCAGCGGCAGCGGCTGCAGTGGCGGCGGCAGCGATAGGAGCGGCGGCGGCAGTGGCTGCAGCGGCAGTGGCGGCAGCGGAAGGAGCGGCTGCTGTGGCAGGAGCGGCGGCAGCGGCGGCTGCTATGGTAGCGGCGGCAGC